TCGCGCATCTGACCAAGCTATTGCTACCGCCTGAGTTCGCCGAGAGCTCGCTGTCCACGTTCATCTTCCTCGCGGCCGGCGACCTCAACGGAAATGTCGATTCACCATGGTCAGCCTCATCCGGTGAGCCGTTGTCCTCGATTGTTGGCTCTCTGGTTTTGTCGCGATGCTGTAGTGCTCATTCCACTCTTGCCTGCTCGTTTTGCCCACTGCAGTCGCCGGAAACTCCATAGTCGACGAGGTCCGCTCCGCCGTGATCCTGGTCACCGTCGAAACGCGTCACCAGAGCTTCTCCGGTCCCGCTTGTTGCTTCAACACGATCAGGGTGAGCCCCTGATGCTTCATGTACTCTCTGTTTCACTGTTACCGGTCTTGTTTTGCCGGCGTAACGCTGTCATGCCACCGCTTCCGCCATGGTCGGTGTCAGCCTTATTCCATGCCGTAATCAACCTCCAAAGTGCCATAGATCGATGCGCCTAGTTCTTGTGGACGTGTTGGGACTTTGGCCGTCGCTGTTAGGCTCACCGTCGGCGAGTTAGCGCCGGTCAGCGTCGTCGAAGCCACGGTCAATGCCCAAGGTTGGGGATGACAGGTGGGGGCCGGCTGTCAGTGAGAGCAAGAGAGAGAATAGTGCCTTTTGTTATTTTCTGATTTTGAATAGTGCTGAATCTTTGGAAATTTGTAGGAAAATAATCATAGCTCCAAAAATTCTAAAAAATTTTATGTAGCTTCTGTACATGCTCTATTATGGTTTAAAAATTTGAAACTTGAAATTTGAATAAATTTTTAATGTTCAAAAATTTAGTCAATTAATTGATAAATGCAATTTCCATAATTTTTGTAGGTCACTGTGTAGCTCCAAAAATTATGAAATTTATTTTGGTACACTAATTTGTTATGGGGAAGCTTACATAAAATTTTGAGGTCATTTGGAACAAGTTTATTTTTTGGCTTATTTCAAATTAATTAAAAATTGAATAAAAGCAACCCTAATCATGCCCACACGCCGGCCGACCAAGGCCGCACTTGATTTGGTCGTGGCTTGGCCACCCTTGGCCACAGCGCCTGCTGCTGGCCGCTAGCCCAGCCAGCCGCTGGCCACCACGCCCGACGACCACCCTGCCCCACCCGCTGATGTACTGTTGTCGCTGTGCCCCCGCGTCCTCGCGTTGCTGCTGCCCTCCCTGCTTCGCACTGTGGTGCAGCTGCTGTCGGTGCCGTCGCCTCGCCATCGTGTCCGCACCCCTTCCCCTACACTTCGTCATGAAAAGCTTTTTTAACAGGAAAAGCTCATCATTTTTTGCAGAGATTTCAGAGGTTGAAAACATTCAACGTATATGGTTTGAATGATCACATTTCTGAGGTTGAAAATGTTCTTCAATGGGAGCGACAAAGATGCACTAGCCAACTGTGAGTTTGTCCTTACAGGCTTACACATTGTTTCTTGCTAAGCTTTCCCTTTTTAGAAATTATATTTTTTATTTGTACAATGGATACTCGATCCTATCATGTTGCGCAATATGCCATGACTGAATTTTTTTAAATGTTCCACGGATATTGAAACACCATATGGCACTAATCCATATGATCTGATACATTTCTCATGTTGCTCCTCACCATTTTCCTCATGCCAATGCTTTTGGTCGCTGGTTTACTTTGAATTTTGACACTAAAACATCACCATATTAATTTGCGTTTAGAATGGTTAAATAATCCGCTATCTGCTCACCCTGCACCATAGGTGTTTGTGCACTTGTGTAAACCATCATTTGGTACTACCCTAATTGAAATTCATATCCTTTTTTAAAGGTTGGGTTAGTACAAGTTAGGATTTGGAATGGTTATTGTTTAGTTCTTGTTTCTTTTAGATATAGAAAAAAATTGCAGGTCTTTTGTTTTGTGTCAATCTGGTATTGCTATGTCAATTCTATTATGGCAGTTCTATCAATATATTCAACAGATTCACATATTTTTATTCTCATATGGCTATATATGGATTGTTTTAGTGTTTTACACATCCATCCATATAGTCTTTAGTGTATTAAGATAAGATTTTCCTTCCTACTTACACTTTTGTCAGAGCTGCTGCCGGCTTGGCTTGGGGCGCGCCTCCCCTGGCGGCCGCAGGCGTAGCTGCCATGGCTGGCGGCGCTGCCACCCTGGCCGGCTGCTCGAGAGGGTGCGATTCAAGTCCGTTGTCGGCGACCAGCACCCACCAGGTATTCACACCTTCTGTTCCCTCGTTGCTGTGCGAAACCGAGCAGCTGTAAGCCTTGTTTTGGTGATAAAAAGTATGAGTTTATAATTAAGGCGTCCTGTCATGTGGAAAGCACAAGGCCATCCACTAGCACTGTCTTAATATTGTTGATGTAATCAACATCCTATGTAGAACAGGGAATCTTTTTGCAGCTTTCATGTTAACATTCCCCATAATTATGAGACCAAATGTTTTAGAAAAAACTTTACTATGACTTCTTAGTTTTTCGGATTGTATACATACTCAAAGATATTGTGTAAAAGTTGAACTATGGAAAAAAAATATTGGTTGTTTTCATGTGCGTTTCCTAGATAAATCCGTTGCGTTAGCACGGGCATTATACTAGTATTACTTATATAAATGAATAAATATCATAATACATGTTAGGAGATGATATTTAGCATTCTGATATGGACAACAAAATACTACCTCTATACTAAAAAATGAAGTCGTTTTGGACAGTGACACGATCTTCAAAGCTACTTATTTTTATAAAAATATTTATCAAAAAATGATATATGTAAATTTTTGTGAAAGTATTTTTCAAGATAAATCTATACATATGGTTTTTACATTTTCAAACTTAACAACTTAAAAGTTATTTATGATTTATATTCCCAATATTTGACCTAAGCCTTGTCCAAAACGACTTTATTTTTTAGTATGGATGGAGTATATGTTAGTGAATGATGTGGTTTGCTGATGTGAATAGCTTGAATGAAGACATAATAACATGTGCTAGTTGGATGTGTTAGTGGATGCTGATGTGGACACTTTGTATGACAAAATAGTTGCATATGCTAGTGGAATGTGCTAGTGGATGCTTGTCAGTGTTTTATAAACCAACGAGTGAATTTATGAGTATCACGCTGCTTTAGAAAGACAATGGTAGCACTCAAAGACACAAGGAGTTATACGGGTTCAGGCCGGAGCCCTAAGTCCAGTCTCATATATGGTTGCGAGTTCGTGTTCGCCGGTTCAAGTGCTCTGAAGTCTTACAATAGAGTGTCTCGGCTAAGAGATTGGAGGTAAGAGGAGTGAAGTGAACGAAAGCCCGAATGGAGTTTCGAGAGTTCTTCCCCCTGAAGGGAGGCCTGGCCGCCCTTATATAGAGTTTGAGGGCTAGTTTACTTGTAGAGAGATGGGTTCTCCCGACCCGAGTGGTCGACGATCCGAGGAAGGGGGAAGCAAGTAAACTTGGCTGGCAAGCCATCATGTCTTGTCTTGGCGTCATCGTACGTTCGGGCACGGCCGTCGTCGTGGTCGTGTTCCCCATGCCGTGGTAGTGGATGCTGATGTGGACACTTTGGATGGCGAGATAGATGGGATTGAAAATATAAGATATATAGATATAGATTACTTCCCCATTTTAATCATTTGTTAAAAATAATAAGATGCTAGCACTCTCATCTCCTGTGAATCCATTCACACACCTTATTTTTATGATTACCTCCGAAAAATTAAACAACCGATAAATCTTGAGATTGACAAAGTCACTGTAGATGTTTTGTTATCGACGGACACGTTGACTACCACTAAAAGAACAATACCGTCACATTTTGGAAATTCAGGGAAATTTGAACACCCATGTCAAATCAAGAATTTAGATTTAGGTAGGCAGGTTTCACCACGAGAGATACAACCAGGCGAATTATGCTCAATTCGTAATTATAAATCAGTTTGACTTTTTTGAAAGTTAAAGTTTTCTAATTTTGATCAAGTTTTAGAAAAAAAATTTATTAACACTTGTCTCTGTCTCTATCTATATCTGCGACTAAAAAAACATAGAGGTTACCGTCCATCCGGCAAACTACATTCTGCCCGATCGTTGACCCCACCCGGCGCCTCGTGCACGTGTTCCCCATGATGGCCGCTCGGCGCAATTCTCTCCGAGTGCCACTCCCTGTGAGACCCACACATGTCCTCATCATATGCCACCCGTGCGATAGATGGAAACTTCACTGGCCGAATACGAAGGGAGAAAATCATGAAAAAAATCTCACGCGGCAAACTTCCTGGTGCACGCGCTCCTCGTGATGGCCACCCGACGCAATTCTCTCCGAATGCTACTCCTCACGAGACCCACACGATCACGTCTGTCATATGCCACACGTGCAATAGATAGAAACTTCCCCGGCCCAATAGGAAGGGAGGAAGTCCATCCGGCGTAATTAACGCTCGTGAAAAAAATCTCACGTTCCTCGGCCGAATAGGAAGCCGCCCTTTGCAATCAATCAAATAATCTCAAAGAGTAAACTGATAATTAGATCGATCAATCAAATAATATAAAAAAGGAAATTATTTTCATCAAGCAGACGATCGCCCATGATCGCCCGCAAAGTGTAATAAGCGACCGGTCGCGCTCTGCCTCCAGCGCGCGACGCCAGTCCACGACGGGCCGGCTTCGCCTCCTCAGGCCCAAGCATCAATCCCCAATCCGAGCGTCTCCTTCCCCGCCTCCTTCCTTCGCAGCGCACCTCTGCGCTCCGACCGAACCTCCCGGAAGCCGTGTCCGAGACAAGATGAGCGAGCAAGCGGAGGTCAGGGCGAATGTACTGTCGTCTCACTACTAGTCAAAGAAGCCGGGTTGCTCTGCCGTTTTGCTCGGTCGCGGTCATCGCCCGGTCCCGCCGTGCCCGGCGCCCTTGTCGGTCCCTCCGCCGCTCTAGGTCGCGCCACCGTAACCCTGTTACTGCCATTGATCTGTTTTAGGGCGCCGCGAGGGAGGCAGAGACAACTGGCGATGGCGGCGTCCGCGAGGCCCGGGGAGAGGGCGACCAGCTTCGCCGTCGCGTGCAGCCTCCTCAGCTGCTTCGTCCGCCAGAACGGCAACGCGATCGCCGAGCTAGGCCTCAGGATCCAAGGTGAGCAGCGGAATCCGGCGCCGTCTGCGGCCAAGTCTGCCCTGTTGAGATCTGGCTCCTTCTGGAGTACTGGGTGTGGGGGAAGATTTCGAAATCTGGGGTTCAGTTTTGATTCCTGTTGGGGGCGTGCTGTGAGATCTGGGCGGGGCCTTGGTTTATTCGGGTTGGAAACCACGTTTTCGGGCTTCGAATTTCGCACTCCCTTTTCGGGCTTCGAGCAGCAGACGACGCTGGCGACAATTAACTTGCTCCTCGGAGCGGAGGCCGAGGAGGCCGAGAGGAGGAAGGAGACCATGGAGCTGTTCCCTCAGAGCACCGGGTTCGGCGTCAAGGATGCTGCTGCCCCTAGGTGCGTACTACTGCAGTACTGCTACCGCTGCTTCACATCATGTAAATCCTTTTCGATTTTGGTTTGTGCAACAGTTGTTAGGTACTAGAACTCGAACCTAGTGCTCTGCTCTTGGGTCTCATGGACAAATAGCCAAGCAATTTGACTTTGGAAACATAGTATCTGAGTTTTATGAGTGTTCACAGGTGAAACATGGTCCAAAGTGGTCTGAAATCTAGTTGAGCCGGATGGTAAAATGACAGAGTAGGTTTACCTGTGTGTGAGTGTGTCAAGCATCCTTGTAGTTCGGTTCGTGTTGATATTCCCTAGTCAAAACTGTATCTTTGTAGTCTTTATATCGGGCAAAACAATCAGCAATTCAGCATGCTCAGGGTTGTTCTGAATCTAGTTCAGTTCACTGTCCAGTTTTTTTTCAGTTTCAGTGTTCTGAATCTAGTTCAGTTCTGGTCAGTTTCGGTTATCTGAATCTATTTCAGTTATCTGAATCTAGTTCATTTCACTGTCCAGTTTCAGTTTTCTGAATCTAGTTCAGTTTAGGTTCAGTGTATGAGCGTTCATGTTCCTACTGCTATTTCACTGTCCAGCAGTTTAGTTTCAGTTGACTGAATCTAGTTCATTTCACTGTCCAGTTTTAGTTCAGTTTCAGATTTCCGAAACTAGTTCAGTTCAGGTTGAGTTAATGAGCGTTCATGTTCCTATTACTACTCTTATCCTGTTGCTACACCGTTGCCTTGCACGTAACCTGCATCACAGTTTGAATTACATTCATCTTCAGAGTTCACTTATTTTCAGTAAATTGTATTAGAGTTTCAGTTAATATATGCCTTGTTTTTAAATGGTTGACTAGTCCATCAAATGAAATTACAGTTTTTGGATTAGAGTTTCTAGTTATTTTAGTTTCAGATTTATGTTTTTTTTGTTTTTCATTTTGTCTTCTTTTGTTTTCAGTTTCTATTTATCAATCTAATTTCATTTTAATTTTTTGTTTTCAATTTCAGTTCCTTTTCTGTTAGCTAAGTAGACCCAATTTCAGTTTTAACAATTTCATTTTTTTTTTAGATTTTTAACAAATAGCTAAGTACAACTGAGTTTTGTGATTTGGTTTTTCAATGCTTTGTCTCTTTTTTTGTTTCATTATTTCGTATAATTTCAGTATAAATTTTCATGTGTTTGGAAGTCATGATTATCAGAATTTGTCATTTCACGACATCTTGCCACTTGCTCAAAATATAACTTGCTACATACTATGAATTAAACTTGCCACACAAGGTCATGCAGCTTGTAGGTTCTTTTAGTTTCATTTTGTTGAGTCATGAGTTTTTTCAGTGTCCCTTTCAGTTCAATGAGTAATGAGTTTCATTTTTCCCTATGTTATGAACCGGTATAATTCATTTCATCGCAGCATGTTTTTTTGTTTTTTATTCTAAATTTTGTATGACGGCATGAGGAAGTCATTTTGTAATTATCAGAATTTTGACATTCAAGTTGCCATATAATTTCTACCTGTAGTCCGGGTTTATACCACAAATCGGGACTATATTTCCCGGGCTATATACTTTCTCCTTCCTCCCCCAGCCCGAGCCATTTCAAGCTCTCTGTCTGCTCTTTGATCTTGCTCATGGAAGGAGTTCATGCTTGCGGGATTGGTGAAGGCTTCATTCCTCCATCCATTCTTCGGTTCTAAAGATTTCCAACTTCATCCGCCCATGTTTCATCACTAATATGGCTCATTTCTTGTCTAGAAATAGAGAAATTTGTGGTTTTTTAGATTGGTAATGATGGTGTATTTTTTTTTTATTTATATACCATTTGAGTTCGAAATCACCTGATAGTTTGAATATGAAGATGAAGGAAGCTTATAATAGTTCATCAAAACTAGTATGCACCTTTCATTGCCTCATTTCATGGTCTAGAAATAGAGAAATTTTTGATTTTCTAGATTGAGAATAATGGTGGATATTTTTTATTTATATGCCATTTGAGCTCAAAATCACTTGATAGTTTGCATACGTAGATGAAGGAATCGTATAGTAGCTCATCAAAACTAGTATGCACCTTTCATTGCCTCATTTCATGGTTTAGAAATAGAGAAATAAAAGGGCTTTTTAGTATATAGCTCATTTAATTAATTTCATGGTTCACAAAATGAGAAATTTATAGTAGTTGATTAAAATAAGTATAGAGAGTCGTAGATGGCGACTGCTTCCGGGTCCTCGGCCTCGCATGGGGTCTCTAAGCGACTGAGGCTGGATCTTTCTCTCATTACGTGCGGCAAGTGTGGGCAAAAGACTGTGAGGGAGTATAGGATGAAGAAAAAGGGTCCCAACCAAGGTCGCATCTTCTACACGTGTTCAGATTGCGAAGTGAGTAATTTTTTTTGTCATGTTTTGTTATGCTTTGTAGCCATTTTTGTGATGATTTTGATTAAAATTCTTGATTTGTTGTTGTAATTTTAGTGGGATGGCACTGGATATGTGACCGTTGGTACTGAGAGGAAGAGTATGTTGAGCACGTCCAAAAATCTCTTGCAAAGGCGACTGAGGCGACTGATGAGAGTGCACCTTTGTATGATGAGGCAGTGAATCAGCAGAAGAATGATTTGTTTGTTTTAGTTGGAATTGGTCATGAAATCCTTATTCTGCTGAAGTATATTGTAGGTTTAGTTTGTTTAGTGCTATTTGGGATTGTCTACATTGTATCAAGGCTTTAATAAATTAATGTTCGAGAGTACTTGAGTTGTGTGGTATAGGATATCAATTAATCATGTTGATTGATGGATATTTTGGATTTTTTAATTAACTACTAAGCATGCATGTTGTATAATATGTGTTATTACAAGTTTTTGATGTGGTGTACGTCATATAATGCAGATGAACCAGCAATGGATGTACAACGCGGACCGCCGCTCCCCAGAGTTCATTAGGGGCGTGCATGAATTCATAAATGTGGCCAAGGCAAACACGCGGAATGGTTTTATGTGATGCCCATTTGTTCTATGTAAGAATGAGAAGGATTATTCTTGCTCAAGGATCCTACACGAATACCTATTTACGTCGAGTTTCATGCCAAACTATATTTGTTGGACTAAGCATGGATAAAGAGGTGTTATAATAGAAGAAGATGAAGGGGACGATGACAACATTATTATTCGTGGTTTTGCTAAATACGGTGCCTTTGATGATACTGTAATGGGGGAAGCTAAAGAAGAGGTGGTGGCAGAAGATGAGCCCGCTGATAATCTTGGTCAGGCCATCCATGATGCACAGAGAGAATGCGAAAGTAAAAAGGAGAAGATCAAGTTCGAGCGCATGCTAGAGGATCACAAGAAGTTGCTATACCTGACTTGTGAAGAGGAGCAAAAAAAAAGTTGGGTGCCACACTTGAATTGCTGCAATGGAAGACAAAGAATGGTATATCCGACAAGGGATTTGGGGAGTTACTGACTATCGCAAAGAAGATGCTTCCGAAGTCAAACGAATTGCCCGCCACTACATACGCAGCAGAACAGGTCGTCTGCCCTCTGGGTTTAGAAATCCAGAAGATACATGCATGTTCTAATGATTGCATCCTCTACTGCGGCGAGTATGAAAATTTGGATGCATGCCCGGTATGCCATACATCGCGGTATAAGATCAGGCGAGATGTCCCTAGTGATGTTGAGGGCGACGGTGAACGTCCCAGGAAGAGAATCCCTGCCAAGGTAATGTGGTATGCTCCTATAATACCACACTTGAAACTTTTGTTCAGAAACAAAGAGCGTGCAAAGTTGCGGCAATGGCACAAAGAAGACCGTAAGGTAGACGATATGTTGAGACATCCCGCTGATGGGTCCCAGTGGAGAGTAATTGACAGAGAATTTTCAAAGTTTGCAGATGATGCAAGAAACTTAAGCTTTAAGTACGGATGGCATGAATTCTTTCGGGGAGCAGAGCAACAGTCATAGCACTTGGCCTGTTACTCTATGTATTTACAACCTTTCTCCATGGTTGTGCGTGAAGATGAAGTTCATTATGGTGACAGTGCTCATCCAAGGCCTGAAGCAACCTGGAAACGACATTGATGTGTACCTAAGACCATTAGTTGAGGAACTTCTACTTTTGTGGAGTAGCACAGGCGTACATGTGTGGGATGAGTACAAACAGGAACACTTTGACAGACGAGCATTGTTGTTCGTAACAATCAATGATTGGCCTGCTCTTAGTAATCTTTGAGGACAGTCAAACAAGGGATATAATGTATGCACGCACTGTTTTCATGACATGGAAGGTATATTTTTGAAAAAATATCGAAAGGTCGTGTACATGGGCCATCGTCGATTTCTTCCATTGAATCACGCCTTAAGAAAGAGAGGCAAGCATTTTAAAGGTAAGGCAGAGCGCCAAACAAAGCATGACAACCGTAGTGGTGAGGATGTATTTAATATGGTCAAGGATGTACAAGTAGTCTTTGGGAAGGGACATGGTAGACAACCTGTTCCGAATGATGCTAACGAACACGCACCCATGTGGAAGAAGAAGTCCATATTTTGGTAGCTATTCTACTGGCAAGTCCTAGAGGTTCGCAACGCGATCAATGTGATGCACCTGACAAAGAATCTTTGTGTGAACCTGCTAGGCTTCATGGGTGTGTATGGAAAATCTAAGGACACACTAAAAGCAATACAAGACCTGCAGTGTATGAAAGAACGAGAGAACCTGCATCTAGAGAAGGTAGATGATGGACACCAGTACTTAAGTCCTGCCAGCTACACTCTTAGCAAAAAAGAGAAGGAAAGCATGCTTGAATGCCTAAACAGCATCAAGGTCCCATCTAGCTTCTCCTCGAATGTAAAGGGGATAATAAATGTGGTAGAGAAGAAATTACTAAACTTAAAGTCTCAAGACTATCACGTGCTTATGACGTAATTGCTTCTGGTTGCATTGAGAGGGATTCTACCTCCAAATGTACAATTAGCCATCGTGAAACTATGTGCATTCCGCAACACAATTTCTCAGAAGGCAATCAATCCAACGCATCTAACAAAGCTACATAATGACGTGGTCCAATGTCTTGTCAGCTTTGAGTTGGTGTTCCTACCATCCTTCTTTA